ATTTCTGATTCTTACTGCATTGTATCTAAAAGAGGATTCCCAATGGCTACTTTTAAAATAGAGTATATGAAAAATAGTGGCTGATGAATCCTTAATGTTCATAAGGTCTTTTTCCTGTTACAGTTGTATATAGAAGTCTAAAGAATTTTTAAAATCGCTGCACTTTTTCACTGCATGCTTAAATTCCCAAAGGCAGATTTTTTTGTACTGAGGTAGATGGTTGAAAGGACTAGATTATAAAATGAGACAAATACAAAACATCTTAAGAAGTGAAAATCTTGCCTTTGGCACTACAGTTGTGTGTGTGTGTGTGTGTGTGTGTGTGTGTGTGTGTGTGTGTGTGTGTGTACACTAAGAAATGGAAGAACACTGTTTTACTTTTTAAAATGTTGAATGTTTCTTTCCTTTCTGGAGATAATTAAAATGTGAATCACTGAACTTGAGATTTTAGCCAGACTAGGGGCCCTGCTAAACAATGAAAAACACTTCACTGAAATTTACCAAATCACACTGGGTTAAGAATGTGAAAACACTCACCACATGCTGGCTGTGGTGAGGAAGTGGGGGTCCAGCAGGTATAGTATCAGGAAGAGAACTGCAATAGAACGGTTTATCTGATATACTCAGTACTGAATGAGACTGAATGAGTCTGATTTTTTAAGCCAAAAGGACCTTGATTTTATAGATCTGTTTTGACCAAAATATTTAGCCTTTTCCTGTAGACAAATTAGAACACATTTATATCCTTTAATTCCAGATCTCAGGCTGTTGAGAAGCTAACAATTGACCCCTTTCTGGCTGAAAACTTGCCTTAATTGGTACCTTAAATATTCATGTTAGAATTGGGAGCTTATTACTCTTGTTAGGTTTCCTGTCCAATAATTTTTAGAACTAAAAAGATTAACCATTATGTCCTCCAAAACGAACAGCTCTTATATCTGATAGATGAAAGGAGATGTGTGTGTGTGTGTGTGTGTGTGTGTGTGTGTGTGTGTGTGTGTGTTGTATGTGTTACATAAACATTCACACACACAAGAATATGAGGCTGGTTGAATTGGATATATTTATTGTGCCTTTGTTGACCAAACATAATTTTGAAGTAATGGTAATTTGGGGATAATGCTGTATTTATTTTGATACGGCTTTAAGACCTGTTAATGTGGGTCTTAAATGTTAATGTGTACCTTTGCTCTTCTGCTTCATGAAGTGTGATGCATATTTGTACACCTTAAGGTAAATGAATCCAATAAGGCTTGATTCCGTACCTCTTACCACAGATTCTACTTTTTTCTTAAGGATTTGTTTTCCCAGACACTACACAAATCTTTGAAAAACTTTGCCACTTCATCTACTACACTCTTTACTATCAATTACCAACATTTAAATTTTGCAAGAATATTTGGGCTTCTTTTAGAAACAAATGCAGAGATTTATTCCCTGGAAAGTGAGTTCTGCATAGTGGCCATGGAGGAGGAGTGTCAGGATTATGGCGGTACTTACTCCTTTGTTCCCTTTCTGTGGTGGGTTGCCTCTTTTGATTGTTTTTGGTTCTATTGAGAATTAATGGATGTAAGGTTTTTTCCTGTGCCTTTTTTATCTTCTGTCATTTTGTTTGCTGGAGGTGGACTGGCAGAATAACACGTCAGGGGATTTTCCTTCAAACATTGCAAGTGGTATTTCTACCGTATAAACCTCCAGTATGCAATCCAGTTGTGTTGGTTTCTTGGTGACTAAGAACGATGACCACTGGCCATGTTCTTTAGTTTTTGTGAGGAGTTGAAAAGCACCATCTACTTAAGGGAGCTGTGAATTTCCTGTCGTCCTAGGGAAATCACAATATGTTCCACTGTGCGCCAGATATCAACAGGTACTGTGATGGGCAGAAAAGTGCCTATATTTCTCTACCCACAAGGGCAGGAAGAAGACCTACAGCTCCCCGTGAGCCTAGATGGTACTATATTGGCCTGGAAGGACAAGGGAATAAGACCACTGGCAGCAAGGTGGCCATGCTGCTCTGGTGAGACCGGGCAGTGGCTGACCTAAGGAAGATAACTTGCTTTGCTTAAAAGTAGATGTTGAAGTGATGCTTAACACAGGCAGTATTAACTTCGCCTTTTGTTCAGGCCATCAACATGTATTGTTAAAATTACTGCACATCCCCCCTCAGATATCAAGTATACACTGTTCATGTTGGTGTGTGTGTGTGTTTATAGGCATGTGTCCCAAATCTTTTTTTTTTTTTTTTGGGTTTTTTTTTGTTGTTGTTGTTTTGTTTTTTTCCTGAATGTGATCATGTTTTGGATGATACCTGAGCAGGGTTGCCTTTTTTTTTTTTTATTTATTACCATTATATATTATATTATATTATATATTTGTTGCTTTCTTATAACTTTAGAGGAAGTCAAATCTTGGTATTAAAATTGTTTAAAAAAGAATAAAATTGTCCAGTTGATAAATGATCACTGGTCTAAAATATGAATTTTTCTTTAGTTATTGTGGAATAATGTGCCAGCTGTCTAGTCCATACAGTGATTTTGTATGTAGGATAGGGAAGCAGTGATGCTCTCAATGGGAAGATGTGCAACACAAGGGGACTCCATGTATTTTATCTACTTCAGCAATGGAACTGCAACTTGGGGCTTTTGTGAATAAAATTTAGCTGCCTTGTATAGTCCTTTGAAAGAGACGTGATCTGTGAAAATTATAGTTTTCTTTTTTTAGAAGAAAAATTTGCAAAAGATCTTTCCAAAGATACTGTGCCACAGATCTTTTGTTTGTTCTCTGTAATGAGGATTAATTGCTGTTTAAAAAAAAAAAACAAAAACATGTAATTGACTTGTTAATCTTCAAATTGTTTCCTTTTCACAAGAGGATCGAGCTGTAAAAAAAAAAAAATTAATAAAAATTTAGAGAAATTGTTGGGGTTGAATTCATGCTTTCCTTTTGCTTGAATAAACGAATTCCTAAAATTGCCATATATAATTACCATTATATAGCCAAGGCGAGCCTCACATGGTGGAATAACATGCCGTTGTTCACAATATGTATTTATTGTTAAAATGGGAACAGAAGTGGGGGCAGAGGGTGCTCATCCTTCCCTTTGGTTTATTTTCAAGAACTTCAGTCACACACAAATTAGCCTGATACCACCACTGTGGCATCTTTTCTTTCTGACCTCAACTGCCCGGTGCAATGGTGACCATAATTTGCCTATTTTTAACTTGTTGCGTGGACTGATTTGTATAATGTTAGTATTGAAAGGAATCTAAAGGCATATGGTCTGTCCTCCCTTTGTTACTCTGAAGGAGCTAATGTTTTACACCAGTGGTTTTAGAAAATCAGCAAGAACCCAGATACTGAAATCTGACTTGGCGAATTTGAATTCTGGCCCCTGGGTTTGCTATGTGTCCTTGGGCAAGTTGTTTAACCTCTGTGGGGTTTTTTCATTTATAAACTTTGTTGCTTTGGTATGTACCTAGTAAGATGGTGAGGATTGTACAAGAGGATATGGAGAGTGTTTAGCATAGTGCCTGGCATGAACACTCAAATTGGTGGCTCCTTTAATTTATTCCTTCCCCTTGCTGCACCACACTGCCCACAGCTACCCTCCAGCCTCAGACCTCACTACCCACCTCTTTTTCATTTTTTGTTCCTTAGGTTAGGTTGACCTCTACTTATATTGGTCCTAATGAATAGATACCCACCCTCGGCAAGCTTGTGGTAAAGTTGACAAGCAGCAAGAACTGGTAAGCATGCAATGGCAAGTGTGGGAAAAGGGAGTGTTTCATTAAGAGAAGGGAAGGGGTCTCTAGGGAAGAGCTCTCATTTGAACTAAGCCTGGAAAAATGGGTCATAAAATCTCTGGTTTTCATCTTTTTCACAAATGCTATCCGTGTCCTATCTTGTCCATTATAGATTATCAGTAGTGGTTGTCCGTTGCATGGTTGTACCAGTTTATTTAACCAACCTTCTTAGACATGGAGATTATTTCTAAGTAGGGGATATTATAAAGAATGCTTCCATGGGGCGCCTGGGTGGCGCAGTCGGTTAAGCGTCCGACTTCAGCCAGGTCACAATCTCGCGGTCCGTGAGTTCGAGCCCCGCGTCGGGCTCTGGGCTGATGGCTCAGAGCCTGGAGCCTGTTTCTGATTCTGTGTCTCCCTCTCTCTCTGCCCCTCCCCCGTTCATGCTCTGTCTCTCTCTGTCCCAAAAAAATAAATAAACGTTAAAAAATGCTTCCACAACCATCCCTAAGCAAACTGTTTGGACAGATTCAGCACTTAATATTGTACTATATTATCCTTAGTATATGTGTGCATGTATATATTTATGCTGAATTAGATTTCAGCCCTAAAAAGTTGAGCATGCATTTCCCAGGACATTTTCCAATGCCAGTAACATGTTACCAACTAAGAAAACTTTTTCACAAACATCTGAAGTTCAGTTCATGTTAAAATTTCAGCATTTGTCCCTGAAAGGCCTTAGGGCTTATTTTTCAAACCAGGATTCAGTCAAGTTTCATGAGTAACATTTATTATATTAAAAACATTTGTGTGTTTCCACCAAGTGTCCTTTAATTCACTCCTCTAACTTCTATATTTCCTGGAAACTGGATTCAGTGTTAGAGTCTTGATTATATTTGAAAAGACTCTACAGAGTATGTGGTATACTTCACACAGTGTTACATCAGGAGACACCTAAAATCTCCATTGATGCTAACTTTGAGTGGTTAAGATATGACCACCAGAACGCTGTTGTAAATACAGGCTTTTCCCTGTTTCAACATCTTCCAACATCCAGTTATTTTAGCATGCATTGATAATCCATTGCCTTTCCGATTCTAGATATCATGTTTAGAAAATGCAAAGGGAGGGGCGCCTGGGTGGCTCAGTCGGTTAAGCGTTCAACTTTGGCTCAGGTCATGATCTCGCGGTTCACGGGTTTGAGCCCCACATCGGGCTCTGTGCTGATAGCTCGGAGCCTGGAGCCTGCTTCAGATTCTGTGTATCCCTCTCTCTCTGGCCCTTCCCAACTTGTGCTCTCTCTTTTTTTCTCTCAAAAAATAAACATTAAAAAAAAAAAATGCAAAGGAAAAAGTTACCTAATTTGATAGATGGGAAATGGTATCTTCTGATGTTTTCATTCAGATATTATTCCTGTGGTACATGGTTTTTTTCCCCGTCACGTACCAAGTGGCCATTTGCAGTGCATGGGTTATGTGACCAGTACCCCAAATCCAGTTCAAGTGTCCAATTCAGTAGATGTGGGGAAGGTTTTCACCGAAATCATGTAATGAGTTCACCATTAGGAAGGGTTTTGTTAACAGAGAGGATGCTGAGCAGAAAAAGGAATAGATGACTTCCCTTCAAGCTATTAATCTTTTTCCTTTTGACTTATGTATTTACGATATTAACCTCTCCTTATGTTATAAAGGTTTCCTCTCCAAATTATCTTGTGCTTTTCAGTTTTTATTAGGGCCCTTTTAAGCAGAGCTTGTTTAGTTTTAAGTAGGCCAACTTCTGCCAATGTCTTTGCAGTTTCTGCTTCTGGTGTCTTGAGGTATGTGTGGGCTGCTTCCCAGACCCTGAGAGGCTTTGTATTATTTAAAACCAGCAACAACTCTGAGGTAAGTAGTAATTTCCCTCAGTGGCCTTTTTAGTATTTGTATTAGCAAGTATTTAGGCACTTGTGGAGCCTGAATTATTTATATAGATATTTGTTCACAATTTACCAGAGTTGTTGGAAATGTAAATTGTCACAATCCAGGCTACTTTTACTTAGGACATCTAGGTGTTTAGAACCCTCCAGTCCATTCCAAACAACTTTGAAGCCCAGCGGTGTTTACTGTAATATAATCAGAATTTTATCTGCTGTCATTTTGGCTGTGCTTAGATAAATGTACCCGTCTAGTCTGTTTTGTCTTAGAACAGGACTCTTTTGGTGTTTGCGGTTTCCCTGTAGACCACACTCCGCTGAAAGCGAGACTGTAGTGAGACATCAAGGCTCTGATAATAAAGACCTGTGCCCTTCTAACTGACTGCAGGGTGGACCTTGAATGCTTTCTAAACAGACAATTCTATTTTAGCTTCAAAAGACCATGTGCTTGCTCTGGATAAGTGCTGTAAATCACCCTTCTCTGTTGCTGCAGCCCAGTCCTAACATCTTATTTACCTTATTTCATGTGTAGGCGGCAAAAACAATTATGGGTTTGTATCTCTCCACTGCTAAGTATTCCTATAAATTATCATCTAAGCAACAATACAAACAGGCGCATGCACACACATTTTTCTATAGGTACATACATGATTAGATGTGAAAAATGAGTTGTACTCAACTGCATGGGCCTTAGAAAAATGTCTTCAGTTAACTATTCAACTCCCTGCTTTTCTATTTTTGTCTTACAGTCTCTGAAGAAACTCTTCCTGCTGGTAGGACTTAGCACGCAGGATTGTAGTTGAGGACTTTACAAGCATCTTAAGGGAGTGATATGCTAGAGTGGCTTTGCAGAGCTTCCCAATCATGTAAATTATTTTGGATTTTTTTTTAAATCCTGTTTTCAACTGATCTACAGATAGGCCATTAAAAGAAATCAAATGAGGGGTTCCTGGGTGGCACAGTGGGTTAAGTGCCTGACTTAGTGCCAGCTCACGTCATGATCTTGCAATTTGCAAGTTTGAGCCCTGTGTTGGGCTCTGCACTGACAACTCAGAACCTGGAGCCTTGCTTCAGCTTCTGTGTCTCCCTTTCTCTCTGTCCCTACCTCCCTCTCCCTCCCTCTCTTTCTCTCTCTCACTCACTCAAAAATAAATAAACCTAAAAAAAAAAAAAATCAAATGATGGGGCACCTGGGTGGCTCAGTTAGGAGTCCAACTTTGGCTCAGGTCATGATCTCATGGTTCATAGGTTCAAGCCCCACGTCAGGTTTTGTGCGGACAGCTCAGAGCCTGGAGCGTGCTTCAGATTCTCTCTCTCTCTCTGCCCCTCCCCTGTTCATGTTCTCTCTCCCTCAAAATAACATTAAAAAAAATTTTTTTTTAATCAAATGACATAAAAGCATGTAGAGCAAAAATTACAAGAGCAAGGGCAGCTAGGTGACTCAGTCGGTTAAGTATCCGACTCTTGATTTTGGCTCAGGTCATGATCTCACAGTTCGTGAGATGGAGCCCTTCATTGGTCTCTGTGGGCTGTCTGCTGACAGCGTGGAACCTGTTTGTGATTCTCTTTGCCCCTCCCCTACTCGCACTTGCTCTTTTTCTCTCAAAATAAACGTTTAACAATCAACAAAGTCACAAGGGCAAACGTACTTCATCCATTTCCCTCCAGAGCTAATAGCCATTACTTTTAGTGCATCTCATTCCAGAACTCATTGTGCACTTATACGTTGTTTTTAAACATAAACTTGGGAGTATATTTTGATTCTTTTGATTTTATGTCAGTGTTTTTATGGTAATCCTATTTTGGATGCAATATATTGTGTAATAAGGATATATCTCCCTTTATGTAAACATTCTCACATTATGCATACAAGCCTCCCCTGGGCCCCTGCCCGTTATTCTGTTACAAACAGCTATACTGAGGAATCTTTCTTTTCTTTTCTTTTCTTTTCTTTCTTTTTTTTTTTTTTTTTTTAGGAATCTTGATAAACACATCATTGTGCATTCTTTTAAGTATTTTTACAGGATAAATTTTTGTAAGAGGATGTCTCGGTCAAAAGCGAAGTCAAATTTAAAATTTTTGATGTTACCAAACCTACTTCTCCCAAAAAGCTCTTCTAGCAACTGTGGATGGGTATACATTCTTTCCTTTTTTTTTTTTTCCTTTCATTATGATAGGTGTATTCTTTAATCCTCGCCTCCCCACTTACTCTCTGGTAACCATTAGTTCTCTATAGTTAAGAGTCTGTTTCTTGGTTTATCTCTCTACCACCACCCACCACCGCCTGTTTTGGGCTTCTTTCTTAAATTCCACATATGAGTGACATATGGTATTTGTCTTTTCTGACATTTCATTTAGCATTATATTCTAGCTCTATCCGTGTTGCAAATGGCTAGATTTCATGCTTTTCTATGGCTGAATAATATTCTGTTGTGTATACAACACATCTTTATACATTCATCAGTAGGCACTTGGGCTGCTTCCATAGTTTGGCTATTTTTGTTTGTGTGTGTGTGTGCGTGTGCGCACGTGGGTGTTTTGTTTTCTGTTTTTTGGGGTTTTTTTTTGGAGAGAGCACATGTATGCACACATGAATGAGTGGGGATGGAGAGGGAGAGAGAATCTTAAGCGAACTCCACACTCAGCACAGAGACCTATGCTTGGCTCGATCCCACGACCTTGGAATCATGACCTGAGCCGAAATTAAGAGTCAGACATTCAACAGACTGAGCCACCCAGGTGCCCCTATAGTTTGGCTATTGTAAATAATGCTGCTATAAATGTAGGAGTGCATGTATCCTTTTGAATTAGTGTTTTTGTATTTTCAGGGTAAATGCCCAGTAGTGTGATTACTGGATCATAGGGTAGTTCTATTTTTAATTTTCTTGAGGAACCTCCATACTGTTTTCCAGAATGGTTGCACCAGTTTGCATTTCCACCAAGAGTGCAGGAGGGTTCCTTTTTGTCCACATCCTTGCCAACACTTGTGGTTTTGATTTTAGCCATTCTGAGTGGTGTGAGGTGATATCTCATTGTGGTTTTGATTTGCATTTCCCTGATGATGAGTGATGTTGAGCTATTTTTCATGTGTCTGTTGGCCATCTGAATGTCCGTGGAGAAGTGTCTGATCATGTCTTCTGCCCATTTTTAAATTGGGTTGTTTTTGGGGTATTGAGTTGTATCAGTTCTTTAATGTTTTGGATACTAACCCTTTATCAGCCATGTCATTTGCAAATATCTCCCATTGAATAGCTTGTCTTTTAGTTTTGTTGTTTCCTTTGCAGAAACTTTTAATGTAGTCAATGGTTTGTTTTTATTTCTTTGACCTTAGACCTATCTAGAAAAATGTTGCTACAGCTGACATCAGAGAAAATATTGCCTATGCTCTCTTCAAGGATTTTTATGATTTCAGGTCTCATATATTTAGCTCTTTAATCCATTTTGGTTTTGTTTGGTGAAAGAAAGTGGTCCAGTTTCATTCTTCTGCATATTGCTGTTCAGTTTTCCCAACACCATTTGTTGAAGAGACTTTTTCCCATTGTATATTCATTCCTCCTTTATTGAAGATTAATTTACCATATAATTGTGGGTTCATTTCTGTGTTTTCTCTTCTATAACGTTGATCTTTGTGTGTGTGTTTATGCTAGTACCATACTGTTTTAATTACTACCGCTCTGTAATATAACTTGAAATCTGGAATTGTGATACCTCCAGTTTTTACTTTTTCAAGATTTCCTGGGCTATTCAGCATCTTGTTATTCCATACAAATTTTAGGATTGTTTGTTCAACTTCTGTGAAAAAGTGCTGCTGGTGTTTTGATAGGGATTGCATTAAACCCATAGATTGCTTTGAATGGTATAGACGTTTGAACAACTTTTGTTCTTCCAACCCATGAGCATGGAATGTGTTTCCATTTCTTTGTGTCCTCTTCAGTTTCTTTCATGAGTTTTCAGAGTAGAGGTCTTTCACCTCCTTGGTTTATTCCTAGGTATTTTATTCTTTTTGGTGCAATTGTAAATGGGACTGTTTTCTTAATACTCCATTGCTTGCACCTCAGAAAACATCATCTGTGAGCTGCTTACAATTCCCATTTCTTTTTTTCCAACCCTGTAGGAGGCAATGATCAACCCCTAAGTAAGTGAAACTGCATACATCATTGATACACAGGATTTGAAGCTCCATTAATCTTTAAAACATATTCCTTGTCCAAGCAGATGACATTTATCCTGGATAAAATGGAAGCTATGAAATATGGGCACAGTTTTGAGGATCTACGGAATGCATTTCACCATAGGTTTCTCTATGGCCTACAGAGATCAAATCCAAAATCTGTTACAGGTCAGTCCCCAGCCTCACTTGATTATTGTCCTAATAACCTGATAATTTGCTTATTTTAGATGAAGATAAAACAGCAAGGGAAGACTGATTTCTTATCCCCATGAAGTTTAATTCTATCCATTCAATAGTCTGAGTGATTCCTTTGTGTAAAGTGACATGCTTCAGAATGTGTGTAGCACAAAGTATAGGTAAAGGTGCCTGGCTTCCGGATGGCATGTCTCTTTTCCATCCAGGTGACAGGTTAACTTCAGATCTGATATTTTCCCATTCAGATAGCCATTGTCCTTGCCTCTGGCCCGTCCTAATATAGATGCTATTGTAAAACTAACACCCTGTAGCTACAATGTTCAGACTGAGTTATTTCAAGCTTGACAGCATGGCATATGTCAGTGTATCTATTAGGCAAAGGACAGCACTCCTCTTGTGTCTATGTATTTGTCCTGAATTCACCAGAGCAAAATGGAGCCACTCAGTCTTTTTCCCTTTCATTTACTACCTCCATGATACATCCCCATCCCCAGAGCCCAACAGACCTAGAAAATGAAAACATGGAGAAGGGGAAAAGAACATATGTTAAGCCACTTGTCCTGTATAACTTCCATAGTTGTATTTTTAAAACCACCTTCCAAATTAATCATTATTATCATGCATATGATCAAATTTAAGCTAAAGATGAGTAATTTATGGTCAAGCAGCTAGCAAAAGGTGAAACCCAGATTATGATACTGATTTGTCTGACTTCATTATGAAGAATTTTGCTTATGAGAATGAACTAGAGGAAACGTGGCTTTTGTTGTCGTTTTTTTTAAATAAGCTCTTTTAATGTCCTCTACAAACAGAATCGTAACACTCTTAACATTTAACCACTTTTGGATTATACTAGAGGCAATTAGTAAAATTGGATTGTGGGTAGGAATTAGGTTTTATAAAATGGAGCTCAAGGGGCACCTCGGTGCTTCTCTCTGCCCCTTCCCTGCTCTCATTCTTTTCTCAAAATAAAAACTTAAAAATTTTAATGGAGCTTGAGAAGGAAGTCCTGAGAATATGTAGTCACTAGACAATGACTAGCACAGTGGGGGATTTCCCAAGTCAGATGTTGCCTTACATATGCCTTGTAGATTTTATCCATTTACCTGAACCAGTCAGAACACGAGTACATCTCTAGTGCTTGCTGAAATATATAGGTTTTTTCCTTTTTATGAGGACATGTATTATTTAATAAAAAAAGTATCACTAGATTTTACTTTTTTGTTATAAACCTTTAAGGAAACTAGCATAAAACAAAAGTTTTAAAGTCATGCAAAGTAACTTCAAAGGTTAAAATCCCAACAAGTATGAAATAACTGAAACTGGCAACAGTGTGAATCCCCCCAGGGTCCTCGAAGTTGTACAGTAGTGGGACCAAGTAAAACTTTAGCTTAGAAACTGACAACTTTGAAGGCTGAATGCCTTGGCCCAGCAGGATGCGTCTCACTTTCATGATACAGTATCTATAAAATACAACCAGAAGCCAAAATAATAATCATCCTCTACCTTGTGCAAGTTACCTAAATGTCTGATACTATTTCCTACCAAAACAGAAAGGGGTTGAAATACATACTATCCTAAAGTCTATGAAATAGTAATAGTAATCATGTATTTCTGTTAAATTTGATGGGTTAAAATTTAGAGATACACAGACCTCACTAAAAGGACTACTGTCCTACAAAATCATCATCTTGGGTGAGGGGGAGGAGTACACATCAGTGAGCACTGCTCAGAAAATATGTAGAACACTTTAAAGCTGTTTGCAGTACTCGATGGGTAAGCATACACACACCTTACTATATGGTAGTTTTGTCCATATAAATAACTCACCAGGCTTAGCTCTAAAACACGTATTTTCAAAAGGCAGAGGAAAAAATAGTATGTCCCTATTAAATACTTCCAGTGTCTCCTTACGTTTGTTTTGGGCATGATGGCAGCATCACTGGATTAATGAAAATCTCCACATATTCTTTGGAAAGCGCTATTCATTATATCAACATTTTTGAAGTTCTAATACATGTTTAAAAATTGTATTCATCCCAGAATATTTTAATTCCCCTTTATATCCAGTGCTTAACCGAAAGTTGAATAAACTTTATCCTGAACCTTATATGCTTATATCCACCTCGATTGGAAACACAAGTGGACTGGACTATGGAGAATTACTGTGTACAAAAATGTCACAGATGTGTTTCTTCCTCTTGTTTCCACTTGACTGGGACATTAATCAGCCATGGCAAGACCCCTCCATTATATTCTCTACAGTTCTGTGTTCAGGCATTTGAGTATGCATATGTATTTTTGTGCATATGTACACAAATGATGAATCTCCATAACATTTAATGGATAGGTAAGGATAGTAAAATGCATTGTTAGCATGAAACATTTACCTAAAACACAGGAAGTTAGGGAAATTTCACATATGGACACTTAAAAAAAAAAATCCTGTTGCAATAAAACAAAACTTGTAGGTTCTTACATTAAACCATTAAATGTTTGGTTCTACTTCCCTAATTTCCTGAAGCCACATCTTTCATTACTTACCAAATATACATTCCTGTAAGTTAAGTAAATCCCTGGCCAGGTTCCTTCCTTGGCTCAACTTTTTGCTATTTTTTAATGTGCATAGTGCTCTCTCCTTTCAGCAGAGCCTAGAAGCCTAGGGTCAGCTGAGACCCATTCTCCTAAAACTTTACAACTCCCTACAGGCATATTTACAAAGTGTTACCTGAAAATACCAAGGAGCCACCAGACATTCCATTTGTGTGCAATTCATTAAAAAGAATTTACATTCATTCCACTAGTAAGAATTATTTACTTCTCTGGCTCTGGCTTGAAAGGATGTGGTAGGTTTGAGTCAACAAAACCGTCTCTGGCTTCTTCCTCCCCTTATTCATAGGCATTAGCCACCCTGCAGGTGTAAACCTGTACACCAAGAGATCTGTGTGCATAAAGAGGAGGAGATCTGAAGCAGAAAAGCTTAGGGTTTTGACTATAATGTACCTCTGGGGATTAAGTAAAAGCCACAACCAGCCAGCTCCTGAGGATTATGAATAGTGGTAATGAGGAAAACATTTTGAACCTGGGCCTCAAATTGCACTCGGTGTGCTAAGCAATGCAGGCGCAACATGAAATGAATGAATTTTAACAAGTTTTAGCTTTAGGCTTCTCATTAGGGCCCTTTTCCCACGTGTAATGTGCAGAATGCACCACTAGAGAGCAACCCTTTCCCTTAGGAAAAAAATATATGAATTTAACCACATGAAGCTACACCTTCACACCCAGTAGAATGGCTATAATCAAAGAGGACAACACACAGTGTTAAGGATGAAAAGAACCCAGAAAACTCAGACTGTGCTGTGCTGATGGGAATATAATATAGTACAGCCGCTGTGAAGAAGTTTGGTAGTTTCTTAAAAATTGTTACCATACAACCCAGCAATTCCACTTGTATGAACCTATGAAGATAAATGAAAACATGCTTATATTAAGACATGTTCATGAACACTCATGGCAGTGTTAAAAAACAAATGGAGACCAGCCTTGAAAATTCTCTGAACAGACAAAACCAGTTTAGTCATATAAACAAAACTTGATTTGGCTTACTTTGCAAGACTAACTTGACCTGGGTCATTTCTTGCTTATGCCTCTGAAAATAAGCAAAACTTGAACAGTTCCCAAAGTTGGTATGAAGTAACACACTGACCAATTCCCTATCATTTAAGAAAACACTAATATATTCTAACACTGAATAAACAGTTACTGTTTTCTCATTGTAAAAGCAGCTGCTTGATAACAAATATTCCCCTGAGTCTCATTCCACATATTGGTTTGAGTGTTTCTGGTGTGTGCATAATAAACTTTTACTAATTAACTGCTTTGGTGATTGATTGGTTTTACTTCTGTTATTTCTGAACTTCTGACATCTCCTGGCAAAAGAAGTGGGATCCAAAGACCCTGAATGTCTCCAAGGCCAGTGAACACATAGGTGCCTAGTACCCACAAAGCCCAATGAACTCACTGCTTTCTAGCTAACCCTGGAATTTGAGGGTAAGTCTCTTTGAGATCTGAGGTCTGCTCTTTGTGTTTTGAGTGCTCCAACTTTATTGTGCACACCTGCATTTTGCTTGTTGAGGCTTCTTGGTTAGTCACTCTGTGCTGTTCAAAGAGTGGGGGTGGGGTGGAACGTGATTCCCTGTGTTTTGAAACAGTTGTTGGAAAACAGGGCCTCTCACAGTTAAGACATTAAAGGTAAAGACGGGTTCCGTCTGGCCTATGGATGAGGCTCTTGTGCCTTTTTGGAAGATGGCTGATCTTTTGAAATTGTAGTGGCCACTTTGGGGAATTTTTAACTTAGATAGGTCCACCTTAAGCACGTTTAGAAGATTCCAAACCTCTCAGAAACCATGGAATGTATTCTTTAAATGGCATGTAGAAGCTTCTAAAAGACGAAAATGACTCCATAAAGAGCTCTGAAAAAAATCCTTACAGCATGCAAATAGTGTGTTTGGCCATCTAAGTAGGTACTGTTAATTTAGTCCACCTGCCAGAAACACAGTTTGTATCCAACAATTCTTTTGACTTTTGTACCTGAGACGTGGCTACAGTTTTCAAAACAAAAGCTTTAAGAACTTTTTGGATGTCTGTATGTTTATGTAGGTCTATGTATGTTACAGATAGGTGATATTTTTCTCTTTCCAGATGGTATTACCAAAATTGTAAAGAGCTCTATTTAAAGTGTTTTATCAAGATACTCTCAGAAGTATAGAAACTAACCCGTATTTTTTCAAGTTTATGATCTAAGATCCTTGATAAATACAAGCTAGTTTAAGTATGCTGGTTTAATAAAAGCAGGTATGTCTTCAACATTTGCCAAAAAATATGATAGTTGTTTATGTCTAATCCAAGCACAACTGTTTAAAGTAATAATTTAAAGTTTATACTAACTCTAACTGAATAATGGGTATTCATTGAATATCTAAATCATTTCCAAACTTACATTTAGCATTTAATGTTAATCTACTTTTGGCTTTTTAATTTTCTACAGAGATAAAAGATATTTGGGTCCATTAACAAACATGATTTGTGCCACAATGAAAAATCTACTACTTTAGAAACTGTGAAATATATTTGTAAATTTGCCAACCCACACTTTTTTTTCTTAGTTTTCAACTAGGAATTAAAGATCCTAACAGTTAAGAATTCTTATATATATATATATATATAATTAAAACTACTAGAAATAAAAGGGCTAAAAAGACCAACTGCATATGAAAAGAAGGTAAAGAAAACAATGTTTTGTGAATAAGGAAACATATGAAGGACTTTTGGTTTTTTTTTTTCTTTTTAGTAAAAAAATAAAAAGTAATTTTGTCCTAAAATAAAATGATTGTTCCAGAATAAGGAAAAAGGACAAAACCTAATTGGATATAGAAAGTTACAGAAGGTTTGTGAAAAGGGAATCTTGAGAAAGGAATTTTATGTGATCAAGCTTAGAATGGACTTGTTTTAAAAAAGACTTTTAATATCAGGGCGCCTGGGTGGCTCAGTCAGTTAAGTGTCCAAGTCAGCTCAAGTCATGATCTCATGGTTTGAGCCCCACATCAGGCTCTGTGCTGACAGCTCAGAGCCTGGAGCCTGCTTCAGATTCTGTGTTTCCCTCTCTCTCTCTCTGCCCTTCCCTCACTCATTCTCTCCGTCTCCCTCTCTCTCCCCTTCACAAATAAACATTAAAAATTTTTTTTAACATTTAATATCAAAAGTATACAGATGCAAAATTAAAATTTGGTTTTCTCTGTTGAAACAACCGTTTTTTTCTTAGATTATTGGTCTGCTCTTAAGAAATTATAAACAAAGTTGTTTTGTTTTTACCTTTATGTAATTTGCCTAGAAAACAGATTCTATGTCTTATGAAAATAATTTGTGGTTCAAGTCTTTATCAATCAAGTCTTTGGTGACTAAGAAAATAACAGAGTCTTCTTATTAAAAAAGCTAAGGGTTTTTCTTTGTTTTTACAACTATGACTCTTTCTGTATTTGCCTCTGAAATCTTTTGTCACTTTGGTTGAATGGGTAAGTATTATCTCACGGTGACTGATGATCCTATCTGATCAAATGTTTTAAATCTTCTGACATATTTGACAAACTTCCCTCAATCAAATTCTGAATGAAAAAAAATTATTTAGGCTTATTTTGGAAACATCAAATAAAATGTAATTGTTTAACCTTCTTAGATCATATTTCTGAGATATACATATAGTTCATTAAAATAATTCAGAAATTGTAAGATTTTTAAGAATTTCAAATATGTTAGGGCACCTTGGGGTTCAGTCAGTTAAGCATCAGACTTCAGCTCAGGTCACGATCTCACAGTTCGTGAGTTCAAGCCCCACGATGGGCTCTGTGGTGACAGCTCAGAGCCTGGATCCTGGTTTGGATTCTGTGTCTCCTCTCTCTGCCTGCTCATACTGTGTGTCTCTCTCTCAATAATAAATAAACGTTAAAAAAAAAATTAAAAAAAAATTTCAAGTATGTCCTAGTATAGTGTTATTAGTCATAATTTCAACTATTATCTTAAAATATATTTCACAAAAATAACCAAATTTTACATGTCAGTTGCATCATTGGGGGTTGTATATAGAACTCTCACTAGATCCTTTTTAAGTGGCTAATTTTAAGGCTTTTGACATTTACAGACAGTTGTTTTACTCTGATGGTTTTGCAGAAATGTTCCTGCAAAAATGCTTCATTTTCAAAGAAATTCATGTAAAAGACCTTGACAAGTCCTCCAAAATGCAGGCTTCTGACCATGTCCTAACAGTGAACTAAGAATTTCTAAAGCTCTAATGGAAAATTGATTCATAAAGCTGCTTACCCAAGGAGAAACAAAACAATTACAACTACATGAACTTATGAAAATGATTAGAATTTTTATGACTTCATTTAGAATACTGCTGGTTATTTAATGTTTTCCAGATTTAAAGGACCCCTTTTGCTCCTCTCTTAAGCTATCTATACCTTACAGCAATTTGGTAAAGGGTACATTTGCAACAAAGGTTGAAGCATTTAACCCTTTCTCCCCACCTGATCTCTGAATTTGGAAACTCTTATACCATTAGATATACTGCCACGAAAAATAAGAATATTTAATTAGTTCAATAAGAATCTGTTCTCTTTGTAACAGGACACAGCTGGATTAGTCATAGGCTTTTGAAAGTCTAGTCTGAGATTCTTTATGAAAAGTCCTGACAAAGCAGATTTAAAAGAGCCTATATGGTCAATCACTATTCTTGTTGTACTTGTGTAATTAGGCCAACCTCATTGAAATTAGATTTAATTTCCAAACAAATTAGCCTGTGGTTATCTCTGGTCATAATGGGGGTGATGAGAGAAATTACATTTCAATACTACACCTTTGTGGACACTGAATTGTAGTGCTATTGTCTTTGAGGTTTTCTTTTCTACCCATAAACTAGACTGGATCCTGAATTCTTCTAGTTTGCTCCAATATTTCCATAGAACTCTCCAAATACCTCCAGTTTCCTCCCACTCTTTTGACTAAGAATCACCTGAAACTAAAACTGCCCTTTTTCCAAAGCCATGCAAGTTAAAGCTGGACAACTAGACATGAACTTCAGAGAAATCACATTAGCTCATCTGTGGACATTCATGCTGCAAACCAGGAAAATCTGTCAGACTGCCACTGTTTGCCCTCACTTCCAGATGCTCTGAACCTAACACTAGGAATCTTCTCAACTGACCGCTCTCCAAACTCAAAAACTAAGTTTATCATTTGCTGAAACTATTAATCTTTGTCTTTCTTTTCTTTCCATAGAGCTGCATCTCATTAAATTACCTGTTTGCTCATATTATATAGAGGCCTAATTTGGGTAAAAGATCACCTAAACATGACAGGATGAATATAAGGAAGTTTTAAGTAATCATGAGGATGTGAATGCTAATACATCACATTGTACCTATGGAAACAAATGGGTTTCATTTTTTTATTCTAAGTGGTTATCTCTGCTGTGGGGAATTTTTCAGTCCTTGGTGGTGTTCTTACAGTCCTCATGTTCACCTCTCCAGTGCACTGTATACTCTTGAGGGTTTTAAATGCCTATCAGCAGGCACTCACATGACAATTATCATCAGACAGCTGGATGAAATCAACAATAACCACATAAATGATGAAAACGGTGACTAGATGACCCTCTAGTCTGATGACTCAACTGGCTGAAAACACTGAACATGTGATTATTTGGCCTGACTACATAATGGTGGTAACTGAGAATAATGTAATACTCTCAGACTGCTAAGAAAATTACCAAAACAGGGTGAATTGTTAAAATAAAACAAATGGAGACCAGCCTTAAAAATTCCCTGGACAGATAACACCAGTTTAGTCATGCAAAATAAACTAAATGAAGCTTAGTTTGTAAGACTAATTGACCTAGGTCATTCCTTGCTTATGCCTCTAAAGTTCATAAGCAAAATTTGAAACGTTTCCCAAAGTTGATATGACAGAACCACTGACCAATTCCCTATCATTTAAGAAAACTCTAATATTCTAATCAATCACTGTGAAGAATAAACAGTCACTGCTTTCTCACTATATAAGCCATTTAATAATAATATCAATTTGATAATAATACCCCTGAGCCTCATTCCATGGTTTGATTTGAATGTTCCCAGTGTGTGTACAATAAGCTTTTACTAATTACTACTTTGGGGATTGGTGTTACTTCTGTTATGTGCAATGCTGCTGTCAAAAGTTCAGAAATAACAGCCAAAAGTTGGAAACAGTCCAGATGTCCACCATGTGAACTGATAAACAACAGGTGATATATGCATAAGATGGAATACTATCCAGCAATAAAAATGCTACAGTATAGATTAACTTTTCAGGTGAACCTCAAAAAATGTATACTAAGTAAAAAGCCAGATACAAAATCACCATATAGAATATGATTTCACCTATACAAATTTTTTTTTTAATTTTTTTTTTTCAACGTTTATTTATTTTTGGGACAGAGAGAGACAGAGCATGAACGGGGGAGGGGCAGAGAGAGAGGGAGACACAGAATCGGAAACACGCTCCAGGCTCCGAGCCACCAGCCCAGAGCCTGACGCGGGGCTCGAACTCCCGGACCGCGAGATCGTGACCTGGCTGAAGTCGGACGCTTAACCGACTGCGCCACCCAGGAGCCCCTCACCTATACAAATTTATAGATAGAAACCACATTACTGATTGGGGAGAAGTGGAGATGGACTGCAAGAAGTGCTCATAAGAATCTTGGGGGTAATGAAAATGTTTACATCTGGATTGTGGTGATATTGCCACAACTCTAAACTTACTAAATCATGAATTGCAAACATGGTGAGGTTCTATAAATTATACTCCAATAAATAAAGCTGGATCCCCAAAATTCACTGACTTAGTACTGTATTAGAATAGGTACTGAGAAATGAAACAAGGAGAAGGAAAACTAGAGCGCTATTAGCCTATAACACAAACAGCCACTGTATCATTCAGTCCTGAGCTCTGGTTTCCAGACAGGAAAAAAGATCATTGTTTGCAGATGAATGGGGGGAAATAAAGGAATTTATGGTCAGGTAAAAATTTTATTACTTTTGGCTAGAAGCCAAAACAAACATAAAAAAAAAAAAGTTGCAAGTTTCAGGCAGAATGCAATTATTTTCTGAATGAACACCAGTACTCTGGAGTCACATTTATGAAGGGATTTATAACATCAAGCTAACTTAAGGGTCTGGTGTATATAGAATAAGTGATAAACTTGAGACAAGAAGTGATAGACACATCTTTGCCAAGTAATGTTACATATTATGAATTATCCTTTATAAACTAATATTTATCCACGAAAAAACAGGTATGATAAATATATGGGACTAAAAACCTCAATCTGTTAAAGTCTACGAAGATATTCAACAAATTTTACAAAGGGCTCTAGCAGTAATAAGAGAAAGGTAAAGGTAAGTGATATCAACACAAAGCTATGCCCTTTTCTTTGGCTGTAGAATGGCAGTGGCCACATTCTACTTGTGCAAGTTACTAAAGACTAGATTTTTGTTTCAATTTTTTTTCCCCAATGTTTGTTTATTTTTGAGAGAGACACAGAGTATGAATGGGGAAGGGGCAGAGAGGGAGACACAGAATCCGAAGCAGGCTCCAGGCTCAGAGCTGTCAGCACAGAGTCCGACGCG